AGCGCGTCCGAGAATAGATTAACCATCGCTTCGATTTAAAAGTACGACCAACATTATGACGTGAAAGTAACGATCTGATGTCGAGTCAATAACCTGCAATAACTGTTTGACCTAAAATTGTCTTTGGAACCCTGGAAGAGTTTTTCTTTTCCATGGGCAAGTCTGAACTCGCGACGCTCTGCCTGCCGCGACAACTGTCTTTCGCGCGCTTTTAAATCGTTCCATTCTAAAATACATTAATGAGACGTAACTTAATCCACTTGTAGATTAAATTTGATATCGTTTGCGTGTGTTATCTTGTATACGTCATAGCATGTCGACTACAATTCGTTTCCGCAGATCCGACGTTCTATTCGCGTCATTCTTCCAAACGCAGTTTCCTTCCTTGCGTCCTTTCCTCAATCATAAATATTCATTCTTACTTATTAGCATTGACAATACACGGGAGGACTACCTGCCTTGGTATGAATATCGTATGAGTAAAAATGAATACAAGCTCGCGGTTAAGAAAGCCATAATTTTAACTCTTCGTGAGATAATTCAGGTAATGATCTAACATGAGATTCTGAGTAGCAATGTTACTTTGACATCTGAGGAAATACGCTGAAATATATTTTAAGTACTCGCAATGGACATTATGTATAGTAAAACAAAAATGTACATAACGTACATAACGAAAATACTGAATGAAAGAAAAAGTCGGATTACATTCCGCCGATTTTTTAATCTGCTTCAAACGAGAGCTGCTTCTATCTCGACTTCCATTGTGCTTCTGTGCTGAGAATTTTTACGGACGGAAGGCGATTCTATGTAGGATCTAGATACGGAAGTATATATCTCCGTTGTAAATATAAATTCCTTTCCATTCGTACTGCGCGTTTAATGACGTAATTTTAATATCAAACTTCCACAAGTAGAGTTTAATATCAAAGTAAATACTCGCTATCAAAGTATGTATTTCTAAGTTCAATCTACGTTTTATTCATACCACTCATTGCCTTACTATGTTAAACCCATTGCAAACTTTTCGTACAATATTGACATGGGGGATTTTTTCTTCCATTATTTATTCTGAATTTATGAGTATTATCCTGCAGACTATATTTTTCAACATTCTTGACAACTCTAGTTTATTATTGACGACATTGAACAATTCTTTGGGACAAACTTTTATCATTTAAGGAACTATCATATTGAATATATATGAAATATAATATAAAATCTAATTTTTCATGTAAATTTGAAAATTGATTTTCTCATAATAAATATTAGTTTTTAAATCACATTAATTTTATATTTATTAAATTCCACAGATGTTAATTTAAATATACTCTAATTAAAGAGAAATGGAGTTGCATAGAATGTTATACAGGAATTATTATCGCTGTACGATGTTTTTCCGTATCTCGCTATTTTGTGTTTTCTTTACAATTTTTATTCGTCTTAAAAAAATAACAAATATCTAATCTAAATCTAATGTCTAATCTTATTTGATCATTTACGTCTGCATATCTCACGTTTTTATATCTGTGTGTAAAAACGTATTAATCCATTTCTCCTATCAAAAGACACCTATGAAAAGAGACACGTTGAAACATCGATTCAACACTAATTACATCAAATTGATCGCTATCAAACGCTTCGACGTTAACCATATCCCACATGTTCTCACGGCTCCCGCTTAGATCAAGTCGTCATGATTGAAGAACTGCTCGAACGACAATATTATAGGTAGCCGAAGGGAAATCCGGAAAATACGTAAAGTATATAACGTAAAGTAGGACGGCAACTCTTGGCTGCGCGGAAGGACGTATTTAGCCTATAGGTTACGAGAAGCAAATGGCTATAAGCTCTTATCTGACATCGACGTCTATATAGTTCCACCATTTCTAGAAGCTGCTAGAACGCCGTCGAGCGCGTACCTGTGAACGTGAGAAGAAAGGACGACGCTATTTGAGAATTGCAACAATTTCGAAGATAAAGAGCGCAAACAAGGCCGCGTAACGACTCGAAGTTGTCCTACTTATAGGCAGGAGTAATTGATCCGGTTATTACGTAAGACCCGGGATAGAGGAACGTTGTCTCTCGCAGCGCATAATATTCGCATCGTCTCTGAAAATTATTACAATGTAGCGCGTAGTATTTGATTATTATTTAAGGGGGGAAGAGGGGGAGGGGGGGGAGGTCGGGAGGGTAACGTTTAAATTTAAGCGAATTTTTCGAAAGTCTATAAAATTCGTCGTTTCTTTGCCAAGTATCTTTGCCTAGAACTATAATTTCGATTCTAGGCCAAATTTGAAGGCTCTCGTTACATAAATACGTTTGCAACAGCTATTTACAGTTAAATTAACCGAGTACATATATTGTTACGTAAGTATATTTAAAAAAAAAAACTAAGTACAATGAAAGAAAAAAACCGTTTTAAGAATTATCGCATTATTTCAGTTTTGCATGCTCGTATTAAAATGGATGGAATTGAAATGAATTATCGGCTATTCCTTACGAACTGTTATCTATCTTAAAAAGCATTTTAAGTTTCTTAATGTCTATATCTTCATACTTTTCAAGAATTACAATAACGACCAAATCAAACTGTGTTCATCATTATTCTATCTCAACGAGCGCAACTTTGGATTTGGACGGTGACCAAAAAAGATTTTAAGTGCATCGCGTTCATGAAGATTTCCCTCAATATAAACATACGCGAATAATTCTCATAGCGACAGAAAATTTGCATAGAAAGGATTTTGCACGCGTAATTGTATACACCGTGTTCGAGTGCTCCTCCTGTCTTAATTCTTCACAAGTGCATTTCGTCAAAAACAGTTTCGCGACCGTAACTCTTGAAACGCGGGACACAGTCGTTAAGAAACTTGAGACGCTTCTCAAGTGATCAGGCGCGCAACGGATTGTGGCGCGCAGAGCTCGCAAAATTTGAAGAAAACAAAGAGACAACCAACGTTCAGCGATACCGGAAAATCGCGGAAGTCTCAGCGCCACCGATCGATCGCGCAACACGCCACCACTACTCGTGGCCTACTCTCTCTTTCGGGCACCATCCGCGATCCCACGAGCGGCGAAGAGTCCGCTCCGCGAGCTCGCACGCACGCGAAAGAGATAGGTAGGTAGGTAGGTAGATAGATAGCTTTATTTATCACGCGCTCTAAGATAAGTTCTCTCAAGCGCTAAAATATATAACATTGCGATAAGCATAAAAGCGTAAAAGCAGTAAAAAGAAATATTAACAAAAGAAAATAATAAAGAATGCATATATATGTGTGCATTTTTTATTATTTTCTTATATATTTATATATACATATATAGATAGAAGGAGAGAGAGAGAGAGAGAGAGAGAGAGAGAGAGAGCCTTGCGCAAGTTACGTTACGCACTGCGTGACATGCTCGCGAGAGGAAAATCGAGGGAATGATAAAAAGTGACGGTTAGGACAATGGAATGCAAAGCCGAGTTGGTTCAATTGCTACATTTAGTAGAAAGAGCAGCTGTGTAACCATTGTAGGTTTTTGTAATATGATTGGTTTTTCCCTTTAAGTCTTCACTAGATCTAAATGTATTAAGAATCTCTCTTATCAATCTTTGGTTAAGTTAATTGATGATTAACTCGCAAAAGTGTGTGCCAATAACAGTTCAGTGAATCAGAATTTCTCCTCTCTCTCCGTTTTCTGAGATAAACAAACTGTGTTTACTGTTTGAATATTTTGATACAAATTTATATAATTAATTTATGTACATATTTAATTTTGTAAACCGCGCGTCGAAATCTTTTTCATACAAAAATGTAAAACTCTGAAACAAAAATGTCTAAAGGGAAAATATGTTTCAATATATTAAAGTTGACGTTCCGAACTACGAAAGAAAAAATAGTTCAAGTGTCGGCTGTCCAAAAGTTATTTATATTTTAGTTATTTATATTTTTATCATTTTGTTAACCATATTTAGTTATGACAATTTATATATAATTTGTTATAAATATTACAACTTTACAAATATTTTCTAAAAATGTCAAAGTATATACGTAAAAATCATTTAATAATTTTTACATATTGTAAAAGTGATGAAAGTTAATCCAGAACGATCGAACGTGTATAGTAACCCAAAAATAAAGTATGTATCAAGGATCATCAAACTTTTATCAGTGGCACGTCGACTCTCATCGCGCGTGTACCACTCATAAATCTCTTAATTTGGGAAATAAAGTTCAATCTATTTTATAACTTAAAAAAAAA